CTTATAACATGGCCATGCTCACTATTCTAACCCTCATAAAGGAAACACAGAAGATATCTGTGCAGACTGACACAATACTATAAAAGAACAGAGAAACAGAATTGAAGAGATGGACCCCCGAATTAGTGAGTTTACAGACAAATCTGTAAACTCCAATCTAAGAGTAGAGGAAATAATAAAAAATACAAAAAAGACTTAGAAAATCTTTAGAAGAATGTGGGACACAATTAAGAGGAATGGTCTATGTCTTATAAGGATTCCAGAAGTGAAAGAAACAAAAACACTGTGTGTTGAAGAAATTACACAGTGCCTAGCTATTAGAGAGAGTAACATCTAGGGTCTTAAAGACTTGTTTCCAAACAAGCAGCCATCTAAGTGAAACATCAACTAAGTTCACCTGGAAGAAGCACACCAACATCCATGACCCAAGGATTGCAAATTACAGTATACAATTCAAAACCAAAGGAGAAAATAATATAATTCAAATTATGAGATTCTTGTTTTCAGAAGGCTACAATGACAGTTGAAACCCAGAATATATTTGTAGGATCTACACAGGGCATAAACCTCTAGTGATTCCCCTCTAACCATAAGTGGGTGATGGGAATAAACTGGTCATCAGACAGAGTATTGGAGAGATGACTATAATAGATTAAATTGATAAATCTGACTTGAATGGCTAATCCCAATCTCCCCTCTGATATACTTTGGGCTTTATCTAGTTTTTAAATATTTTCTGTATTTTTTTCATATTGGGGCTTATCTCTGTTGTATTTTTAAAATTGTGGGTAGCATTCTTGAATCATTACTATGTCGTTTTCTTTGTTTTCAGTATATGAAATGCAGGACTGATGAACCGATGGAGACAATAACTAGAACAAACGTTCCTGCAGGGTATGTTGAGGGAGGTGGTGCATAATATGCAGCTGATAAGGAGTTCAAAAAGGAAGAGAATATTTTGAAACTGCTTTTGGTAGCACTTGTACAACACTGTGAGATATTATTGAACTATGGTATGGTATGATGTTGGGTTAGGTCTCACTAGAATAGTTTGGACACACACACAATAGACAGGTTCCGGGCACCTCAAGGCCACACTCTCAGGTGGTTCAAGACAGGTCGTGCAGAGCTGCACCCTGGGAAAGAGGCCACTGTCAGTATCTGGTGGGGTTGGAACTCCAGGGCTGGCACGGGAAGTCCTGCAACACCCTTCTTCCATAGCTGGGCATGCTCAGCTATCCCAGTGTGCGGAAGGCAGAGCTGAGTGGGCCCAGAACAGAGATGAGCTCACTGGGGTCTCTAGCTGCCCCAAGCTTGTCTCTGCAGCTCGGTAGGTCAGCTGCTCATCTTTATGTTGAGATCTTGCTTTCTGGAAGTGTAGGATTTCTCTCTTCCGTGGCCTCTCTGTGGAGTCCCTCCCATGGATTCTACATGGTCATCATATGAAGACTCTTCCCATCTTGACTCTCACCACTATGTAGATATAATCTGTCCTTGGTTAATAAATACTCTTAAATTTGCTATTAGTAAATATTTCAGGATTATAATGGCAGCATTTGTTGAAAACACTAATATATGAAGAAAAGAAAGGAAAATCATGTAAAAATGTATTTAAAACGTTATACAAATGTGCAAATGCCTATTAACAGAATAAAAACTCATGCTACTTCAATAGATTCCTTAGATTAAAATGAAAGCAAGCCAAAATCTTTGTTTAATAATAATTTTATTTACTCATTTCACTGTTAATCTTAGGAAATAATATTCACCACAACATTGCAGGCATCATTTAACAGTATAGAAGACTGACTCGTTTTCAGGATAAAATATGGAAATGTCATATGACACACCTGAAATAATTTCTTAGGAAGTGCTATTAGGTGATAAAAATAAAAGGTAAAACTTAGTGCCTTTGGCAAAGACCTAGGTACTAATTTAAATAAACCTTTGATACATGTCTTTGCTTAAAAGCAAATATATACGCATATTGTTTTGCACAATGTTTTTCTATACTCCCATCAACAAGAGGCATGGGAGGATCTAAATGTCTCTGAGACATATCTCCTGAAGAGCTCCCTACCATGAGAAATCAGTGTGTAATTCCTGATTTCTCCAACTTGGAAGCCCTTTAAACTATTCCTTAAGTGTGCACCACACTTCTTGACAGTTTTCATATGTGGGAAAAAGAAAGATGTTGTTTAAAATGTCACTTTTGTAGAGCTTTAAGCACAGATTCCAAATGATTTTTTTCCCTGAAGGGTACTGAGGAAATGGAAAATGACCATGTACTTGATAAGAAAGGGTTTTTGTTTAATTGTTCGCAGAACAGGTTCAAGGAGACTCTCTTAACTTTCCATGCCAAGCAGAACTATATGCAAGGGTATTTCACGTCAAACTACATACAGATTGCGACTTGTACAATTAACTCACATTCATGGACCCTCTGTGTCTTCCCAAGACTTTCAACTAGGGCTAGCTGGGACAACCAGGTAGTTTCTTCTTTCTGATCCATAGTAAAAAAATTCCAATTGAGTTTGAGGAAGAAAAGAGGGATGATTTTTAAATTCATTTTCTGGAGTCTAATATTCACTACCTCATATAGATTTAAAGCATTTCTCCTTATTACTTAGAAGTATTTTACTAGATAACCACCCTACTTATAAACCATGTTTCCTAAAGTATTAGAATGACTCCTGACAAGTATTGCACATTGGTTAGATAAATTGGATAGATAGATGATGAACTGGCTACATCACGCAATTCATTTCCCTACGATGTGTCCTTTGATCCAATTGAAATGCAAATCTTTTTTAATACATATTCTTTATATTAAATAGTCCCTGGGTGGCAAAAATGGTTAAATGCTGACTGCCAGGTGCAAAGTTGGTGGTTCAAAACCCTCCAGAGGCATCTTGGAAGATAGGCTTGGCAACCTACTTCTAAAAAGTCCCAAAAGTCACATTCTCAAAAATCTTATGGAGTTTTGATCTACGTAGTGTACACATAAGATACACTCTCACCATGAGTCAGCATTAACTCATTGGCGACTACAATAACTGTTTGCTAGACACTGCCAGCCCTGGGTTACAAAGAAATGAATAAGACAGTTTCTGCCATTTAAGAACTCACATACTATTCAACAAAATGACAAGATTTAGCTGTAAACTGTGGAATTGGTAAGTATTCTGGACTTCAAGAAGTAATAATAAGCACTTTTACTCCTAAGATATTTTAAGTTAGACAGGTTTGTTGTTGATATTATGGATTGTAGGATCGCTTCTAACTCAAACCAGTAGACCTGTCTCATCGACTGTTATGGTTTCAATCTTCATGGGAGTGGATCACCACTTCTTCTCCCATGGAGCTGTAGGGTGAGTTTGAGCCACTATTGTACCACTAAGTTCCTTGATAGGGTTAAGATTTTAATTTGGGCCAGGAATGTTTTATTAATATTTATATGCAACTGAGAGTGTGGCCTCCTTTCAATTTACTGCTTATGTAGAATGTGTAACTAAATGTGAGCCCCCTGGGTTCTCTTGGTAATTATTTGGGGTGGTTCCGGCCCAGGCCAGATTGGTAGAGTTAGAACCCTATCCTGAATCTCTGTGTTTCCATTGGAGCATTTGTATGTCTACTTCCATTTATCTTGTTGATTTTTTTTAGAAAATGTTGAATGTTCTGAAAACTTCACTTATATAGAAGGAAAGATTACCAACTGGTGAATTTTGAACTTAATCTTCCCTCTTCCTTAATGATGATCACATCCAGAAATGCATGCACAAATACTAACTACAGTTTCAATACAATTCCAAATTATTTATGTTCTCAATAAATGGAACATAAATATTTTATTTTGTTTATTTTCCTTCTCTGAAAAAGTATGGGACACCCCTTTCTATAAACACAATCATCATACTTTGCCCGTGAACTTTTTGAAGCCCCTTCATATTTAAAAGTAGCTTTCACCCATAAGAGGCTTAAAAAAGAACATTATAATAATACAAAAGGAGAACCAGAATCGTGGTTTGTTTCTTTTCGGCTACTGTCAGGATCATACAAGGACAAAGGTCAGGAGATAACCATTCTTGTTTATAACGATCTACTGAAGTTCCACCATAGCTCAGGGCTTCTCTGTTTCTCAAATCTCATTCTCTCTATTTTTTTTCTTTTTTTGATTGAAATAAGCTGGCCTTCGGGGAGGGAGTCTGGGCAGCAGGAGTCTCCAAAGGACAGGGATTACTAAAGTATTGGGAAGGTTTAATAAGCATTCACATATTTATTAGTGCCAAGCCAACTTGAATAATAAAATATAGATACAATCATTTACTACACATTTCACAGGTGGATAGCATAATATCACATAGTTTGTTATACACTTTAGAAAAGAGTCTGTTTTTTCTTGTTCTTTGGTTGAATATGGGCCACCCAAAATGTCACTCTGTCAATTAGATGTATTTATTTTCTTTATAAATGAACTTTCAAACATAATGGTAGAGGGTTTGTTCTCTTCTTCTCAAAGAGTGGTTTTAAAATATAAAATTGATGTTGATGTTAGTCGGATTTTTAATACTTAGAATTAGATGCTTACTGATGCCCACAGGAGGACTTCTTTATTCTTAGCCACATGAAAGTTCAGTATACTTTATTTATTGCTCAAGTGGACCTTAAAGAATCACTTTACAGGACATCATAGCAGAAGAATAAAGAGTAATCTTTTTCAACATTAAATAAACACATGGTGAAGTATGCATAAATATTTCTTCATATAAACATAACACAAAATTAAATAGCTCAGATACACAGACAACACTGAGTACATTTCCACTGTTGTCAAAGTTATCTGTAAACACCACCTCACACTGAATACAAAGCAGCTTTTATCTCAGCTCTGGGTTTACTACACTGAGGTCCTGTACAAAGGTAAGGATTTCTCCAAAGCCCCCCCACGCCCTCCCCCACCCTTTCCCCACATAGCCCAGGCAAAAAGAAAACAACCCAGCAGTTGCAGCAGGAACAAGAACAGCAGCACCCCTGCCCCAAATAAAACAGGTATCTTTTTTTGTCAATTTAAAAGATAATACAAAATTTGTTTCTAAAATGTAAAGGAATCAACTTGAACATTTAAAAAAGTGTAGTCCTTTCTTCAGAGGCTATATCACTTTATGAATTCCACCTGTTCCAGAAAGCACTGCCAATGGCGATGTTACAAAATTTTAAGCCCTTTTTTTTCACCGTTAGAATGTTCCAGGTGGCAACATCTTGCCTACCATGCTCTCCTTCATTCTCCTCTAACAATTTTCCTTTTGCTTTTCCACATATATTGCTGTGTAACAATGTTCAAATGTGACACTATTGTTGAGTTTTAAGCAGTTTAAATACCAGAAGTTTTGCTTCAAAACATGTTCAAATTTGGACTATTAATTTGAAATATATGGTTGTGATTTGTTCTTGGAGGTTAGAGGGGTTCTGGTTTACCTTTGTTGCAGAAGAAAACAACAAAACATACTCAACCATGTCCTCCCCCCAGCTCACGGGCGTGTCTGCTCTGTGCAGATCTGCTCTGAGCAAAAGATTCTCCAGGGTGGTGTGTGAAAAACATACCTGGTTTCAAAAACATTAAATTAGCAATTTCACTTTATGATTTGCTGGAATCCTAAAGAACTGGAAGCATATATTGCATTAACAATTTTTCAGTTCAGTGTTTCCCAGTATATACACACGTGTGTGCATGGAAAATTTACACACACATATATACTCATATGTTTTTATTTGTACGAAACTTAAACTGCACAAAACAGTACTTTGCAAGAATCAAGAAGTAAGTCCACAAATAGAGATTAACAACACACCAAAGAGAAGACATGGAAACTCTATTGGGACAAGAAAATTCAGCTGTGCAAACATATGAAATAATTTCAGATTCTGACTCGCCTGAATTTCACAAATTCATTAGCCAGCCGGGTCCCACAGGGAGACCTGGGCCCACAGTTTAGGGATCCACAGAAGAAGATGGCCACTGAGCCAGCTCGCTATGCTGCTCTGAGATTCCAGAGCTAATGTGAATGACAATCTCCAGGCAGGTTAATTGGGGTGTATCATTATTGTGAAGGATTTTTCCCCCCCTCTCCTTAAGAAAAAGCATTTAAAGTCTATTTTCAGGATAAATTCCTTTATGTCTAGTAGTGTGCAGTTGGTTTCTTTAAACTTTATTCGAATTTTACTTTTGTAGTAAAATAAGTTCATTCAAAGGGTCCTCAAACAGGTAGCTTCTTCCACATCTGGGTGAAAACAGACTCTCCTCACCAGAAATGACCGCCTTTCTTGGCCCCCTTCTGTGTCTGTAAGGTGTGTGGTTAAGGAGGTGTGTTTGGGTGCGGCTATTGGTACACCTGTGTTCTATAAGGCGTGCTCAGGCACACGCTTGTGGAAAATGACGGACTGTCTTTGCTGGTACTGCTGCTTGCGCCTCTTCCTCTTGTCCCACTGGCACAGCAGCAAGGTCTTGAATGTGGTTCTGAACGTCTTGTTGCACAGGGCGTAGCACACAGGGTTCACGGTGCTGTTGATATAGCACAGCCAGTACCCCAGATTCCAATACGTTTTCGGGATGCAGCTGTCACAGAAGGTGTTCACCAGAACCATGATGTTGTATGGAGTCCAGGTGATGATAAAGGCAAGTAAGATCGCACTGAGGGTCTGCGCTGCCTTTTTCTCTTTGATGAGGGACATTCTTTTCCGCTTAGTGATCTGGCTCCTAGTCTTCAGAGCAAACCTCTTGGCCAAAGTCGCTTCTTTGAAGGACAGAGGTAGAGTGGTTGTGGACTTTCCCACAGAGGAGTTGTCATCAGAGGACTTGGTTGTGTCCACAGCTGACTCTAACTGAATGGGAAGCTTAGGAAAGCTTCTCTGGAAACTGCCTCCATCCTCCATACTTTTCTGGGTCTGTAGCTTTTGTGCTTTCCTCTCTAAGTCTGCTTTCAGCATCTCCTCCTCAGGCACCTGTAAGTTGTCCGATGAAGGTAATCTGGTGGAGTTGAGGATAGTGCTGTGTCCTGGAAGCTTGAGCACAATCGAGTAAATGGCCCTGGTCTCAGAGCCAATGTCCTCCTCATCAGAAGAGGCCGAGTTTTCCAGGGAGGCAGCAGCATCGTTGTTGTTCCAGCTGTCACTGCTGCTGTGGTCTTGGTCCATCTGCTCAGCAGTGGGTTTCCAGCTCTTGGTTGTGAACCAGAAGTGGCAGCGACCATACTTCCTCCTGGCTGAGCGTTTCATGCTGTGCTGTTGAAGCTCATAGCTGCTGCAGCTGCGAGAGCTGCCTGTGGGGTGGACAAAGTTTTCAGCCTCTGCTTCTGTCCCAGAGGCTTGCAGACCAGCAAGTTCTTTGGTACGTTTTTCAGTTTCTTTATATATCCTCCAGTATAAAATAGTCATAATGGTGACAGGCATATAAAAGGCAGCGATGGCTGTGCCAAAGGTAATGGTGGGCTCACTGAGGAACTGAATGAAGCACTCCCCTGGGGGCACAGTCCTTTTCCCAACAAAATATTGCCAGAACAAGATGGCAGGAGCCCAAAGGATAAAGGAGATGACCCAAGCCAAACCAATCATCACACCGGCTCTTTTTGTGGTTCTTTTGGCTCGATATGTCAGTGGTCTTGTGATGGAAAAGTACCTGTCAAAGCTAATGACTAGAAGATTCATAACAGATGCATTGCTAGCCACATAGTCAATGGAAAGCCAAAGGTCACAGGCCAAGTTCCCTAAAGCCCACCTATTCATGATGATGTAGGTAGTAAAAAGATTCATGGAAATAACCCCTATAATTAGGTCTGCACAGGCCAGGCTTAAGAGGAAGTAATTGTTCACCGTCTTCAGCTGCTTGTTGACCTTAAATGCAACAATGACTAGGATGTTACCAATGATGGTCACCAAGGCCAGGAAACCTGTTAAGAACGCAATGAAGATCACTTGCCAGATAGTATGGCCTCCCAGGGGGTCACTGGCAGTGTCATTCAGAGAGGAGACATTTCCAATGGCCCGAGAAAGGTTGTAGCTGCCCAGACGAGTGACTGCTCCTGAGGGCAGTCTGGTGTCCGAGGGGCTGTGCATCCAGGAAGAGCTGATGTTCGCAAACAAAGGCGCGGTTGTACTGTGATTATGTAAGGTCATCGTGACTGTCTGACATAGTCTGCGAAAGAGAGAAAAGACAGCGTTAGGGAAATTGCGACCTTAATTGACAGTATGTTCTCATATCACATTTTAAAAGACATGGAAACCCTATTATAGGTTATTTTGAACCTCCATAAGGCACCATATATCAAATCCATCCTCTAATTTATTGTTAAATGTGAGGAGCAAGCAGAAACAAGCTTATTCAAAATAGCATAATAGCTATTTTGGAGCAGTGGTCAGCAAACTGGCTTGCAAGCCATATATGGCTCTTTCGGTATGTATGGCCCTGAAGTAAAATTTTAAAAATTTAAAGGATCTTATTCAGATAATAGTGATATTTCATTTGTTCGTAAAAATATATTTATGGCTCTCAAATAATTTTTAACTCATTATGAGGGACAAGATTGACTCTTCAATCTCAAAAGTTTGCCATCCCCTGCACTGGAGATAGATAGTGCTTCTTTCCACATTACCATCATGCTGTGATCAAGCAAAATCCTTCTCATATGTAAAAGAGAAATATTAGATGGTCATACGATACTTATACAATGTTTATCATCACATGACTTCATGCATTAATTTTATATATTTGGCTTTTACCTACTCAGATATTTATGGATTCAAGGCTTCAGACAGGAGCCCTGGTGGCATAGTGGGTTATGTGCTGTTAATCACAATATCAGCAGTTCAAAACCACCAGCCACTAATTGGGAGAAAGATGAGGCTTTTTACTCCCATGAAAATTCAGAGTCTCAGAAACCCAGCGGGGTCACTCTACTCAGTCTTAGAGGGCTGCTATGAGTTAGAGTCAACATAATGACCACAAACAAGTGAGGCTTCTGATGTGTACAACTTTAAAGGGATACCAGCCAAATAAGCCTCACTGCAGTGAGTAACAGCAGCTCAGGCCAAGTGCAGAAATAAGAATAACTGAATTTAAATTAAAACACAGATATGAATTCTCTTTAAAACAATTTGTAACAATTAGTTTTAAAGCATGGGTACAAAAGTAATATTCTGGTTCCAGGTAATGGTTGGTAATATAGCTGTCCACGAGACATGTCTATGAGGGTGATAACATGAGCAGAATCATTACCAGAGAGTATCTAAAATGATTGGAATAGATTTGATTGTTCCTTATATTTAGACAATTTAACTCCAAAAAGGAAAAAAAGTAATTTAATACAGCACACACACGTGCCTATAACTAATTGAAAAACTAATTAATCATTTCAAGCACTTGAGGATACTAAATATATATAAATTGATAAGTTGGAATTCATTCAAAGTCATCACTTAGATTCCATGGTACCACAGCCAACTTCCATGTCACCTGTTGGCTTGTACCACCAGGATATATTGGCCCAAGAATACTCACATTACCAACTGCTACGAGCTCTATTTAGCAAATTATTCCTTACTGTGTGTCATTCTATAAATTCAAAGTGTGATAATCACACAAACATCTAAGAAAATATTTCTGCTTTTTTATGCTCATGGTTAAAATAGTCTTTAATTACAAAGTTTCCCATGTAAAAATGCACAAAATACACATGTTGAGAATCTTAAGTGAAGCCTTCTTATATTGTATGTTGGAGCATAACTCATAGGCGTGCCAGCAGATTCACAAGGAGTCCTTTGGAAAGGCCTTAGAGTGGAAGACATCTGTGCTTGGAACACTTTGACATCGGAAAGGTCTAGGCTCCACTCGGTGCAACCACTTATTGAAGGTGGTATCTGGGATATTTTAAACCCCTTGAACCTCTACTTACTAATTGGAAGAATGGGACTAAAAACATTCTGTGTAATTGAATAAATTGTTAACAAATTCCTTCTAGAATCCACTAAGTAGTCAAAAAAACGTTATTTCAGCAAAAAACTTTAACATATAAGGTGTTTAGAGCAGTGCCTGGCACACTCAATTAGCTATATAATATTTGCTTTGTTTCTTTTTAGTTTATTGAACAATGAACTCATATTGCTTGGCTATTAAGTTGTTGGGAGACAAATTTAGTAAGCAGTAATATTAACATAATGGTCATTGAATATTTGTCATGTGGTACACATTGTAAAAATACATTACATGCAGAATGTCATTGAATCTTTAAAATTACCCATATAGTACAGGAAACTGGAACACAGGACGTGAAGTAATTTGTCCAAAGAATCAGTTAACAAAGGAGGTGGAGAAGCAGAGATTTAAACCTAGGCAATATGAGCTCACAGCCTCGATTTTTTTTAAAACATTTTATTAGGGGCTCATACAACTGTTATCACAATCCATACACACATCAATTGTGTAAAGCGCATTTGTACATCATTCTCAAAACATTTTCTCTCCACTTAAACCCCCGACTCGATTTTTAACATTAGTGTTACATGATTTTTCCATCAACTTGTTTCCTATGTTGGATACAACTGATTGGCATCTAGCTGATCCTAACTCATTTTGCCTCTATAAGATAGGAGTGGCCTGCATGATAGGGTCTCCCAGGTTGCAATTTTTACTGACGCAGATTGCTACATCTTTCTCCCAGAGTAGTCGGTGGTGTCAAACCTGGTAAGTGACCCACCACTTAACGAAGGCATGAAAAGAGCCCCTTTGGATCCAACAACTAAAGTCAAACGCTAGGGAATGTGGGCCAATTCTGACTTAGAGTGGCCCCATAGGACAGAGGAAAGCTACCCTATAAGGTTTCCAAGGCTTTAGACTTATTAGAATGTGCCCTGCTGGTGTAGTAGTTACATGTTGGGCTGCGATCCATAAGGTCAGCAGTTTGAAACCACCAGCAGCTCTGCTGGAGAAAGATGGGCCTTTTGACTCACATAAACAAAAACTCACATGGGGCAATTCTCTCTGTTCCTATACAGTTACAATGGGTCCATATTGACTAGATGCCAGTGGATTTGGTTTTTCAATCTTACCAGAAACAGATTGTCACATCTTTCTCTGGAAGAATCTTTGATGAGGTTTTAACCATGCACAGATGAACATGCTATCTACACAAGTAGAGTCCCTTTCCTAATTGAATGAAATGTCATTATGCGCCTGCTTAAATTGGAGTGAAGGAGTGCAAGTAGCTTTGTGGGTTACATAAGGCTAGCAGTTCAAATCCGCCATCTGCTCCATGAGATAAACATGAGACTTTCTACTCCTGTAAAGAGTTGCAGCCGCAGAAACCCACAGCGGCAGGTCTACTGTCCTTTCCAGTGGCTTTGAGTCAGAAATGACTCAATGGCACGGAGTTTGGGTTAAATCAGAATGGACGTGTATTAAAAATTATTATTATTTCTCACCTAAAAGATTGGCACCAAGTCAAATGATTTAATGAATTCAGCGTTGACAACAATGTATAGAAAATAATAAATTTCATGATCTTGGTTGAAGTGCACATTTTTATTTAAAAGGTGGCATTGTGGGTTGCACTGAGCAGCTATCCACAGTCAGCTGGGGGAATGTACTAGCTGTTCGGTGGGAGCCCTGCCTATGAATCAGTTTACCCCTGTAAAGATTTATAGTCTTGGAAACCCAAAGTGGAAGTTTTACTGTGTCCTATCAGGTGGCTATGAGCTGAAATCAATTTGATGGCAGTGAGTTTGGGTTGGACCAAATTGAAAAGCACAAATTCAGAATTCTAGAAGCTGCCTAACTGTGTGTGTCTACCCTCTCTCCTTGTTTCTCTCATTATAAAAGAAACTAAGTCAGAAATGATTGCTACTAAGGTTCTAGGTTGCAGGTGCCCTATAGCTGGTAGTACATAACTTCATAAGAACCAAAGGTTTCAAGATAGTCCCAGAGGAAATGGGTCATGGGAAACATGGACTAAAAGCTTCAGTGCTTTTCTGAAAAAAGGGTATCATTTCTGTGCTTTCCTCATCCCAATCCATATTCTATATTCTAAGAATTTAGTTAATTCTGATGAGCCCCAACAAAACCTTTTTGTTTTAGGCTGCTTCCTTAACTCTCTACTCAATTAAGAAAACAAACAAACAAACAAGCAAACAAACAAGAGATAGGGTCACAGAACAAGCTGAAACCAGATCTGGCCCCTTCAGCATGTGCAGAAGACTAGTTGTTGTGTTGAATACACTGCAATAAACACCAATCAGAAATCAGCAAACTCTAAGCTATACCTTCGATCCAGGATTTAGAAAGTCACCTTGGAGACATGAGGCTGGATGCACTTTTTTGTTGGGCCCACCAAGTAAAAGCATCTTTAATTTTCAATCATTTTGTATCTCTGTAGGCACACTCAGCAAGACTTGAGAGACCATGTTTCTGTTTTGTTTTGTTTTAGCAAGCCAGCTGGGAGGCTGAGGTAATATATTTTTGAGGAGCTATATTGGCAATGTGAATCTTGGTGTGCTTCTTTGCTTGATCACCAAGATAAAATGTCTTTCACTTTCAATTGTTTGTTTCTCTGTAGGTGCCCCAAGTGACCTGGGAGACCATAATGACCCTGAGTCACATTCACTGTCTACATTGCATTGTAATGTGAACTAAGGGAAGTTGGTTTTTAATGCTCAGGGAAAATAGGGGGTGGGAGCTGAGACCTCTTTTATTTCTCCATAATTTAGCATTTTATGAGTTGTCCCAGGTAAAGATGATCAGATGATAGGGAAAACAAGAGCAAATGGGATGGCCAAGAAGAGACAGAACAGGAGGTAAGTGACTGGCTCTTGTCTAAGGCCCAGTGTAGGTGCTGTCCTTGCCAAGTACGAATGTTAAAAGAATAAAAAAGACAGAAAAAAAACAACATCAACTGTAATTGGGGCCTATAAGGAATTGGAGGAATACCATATATACTCCAGTATAAGCTGACTCAAATATCAGCTGAAGCACCTAGTTTTACCACAAAAACTTCATTAAAAATGTGCTGAAGAGCTCGGCTTATACATGAGTATATACAGTATACAGAGTCTTGCTATGAAGTATTTCAGCTCCAGAAATCACTTAGAGAATATTAGAATGACTATGACCCTGCTGATGACTACTCAAGTGGCCTTGAAGGCAAT